GGTCCCGTGATTTGTGAGGAGGGAGCAATAAAGTACTGGACTACTGTATTTACTGGCATACCACCCGCACTGCTTAGTGGGATATTGGCTGAACGATGGGTAACATCAGCTGGAGTAAAAAAAAAAAAAAAAGAGGGGGGTGTTCCTAAGCCTCGCTTTTAGGAGTTGAACGTCATAGCGATATCCTGTTCCTATTGTGTACTTCAAATACTTAGTGCATATACTTTTTATTGCGTGATGTTACTCAGAAAATTGCAATTGTGGATTGCTACAATGTAGTGTATTAAGCTGAAAGGGACTTGTGGCAGTGGAGTTTTCGCATATGGTCGCATTCTATGTAATGGTTAGCATGCTTTAAACCACGGGCAATTGTGCACGCGAAACTTTTTCGAAATTTTGCAATGCACTCACTACGTGGCCTCAAGAGAATAGGCGCAGTAATCTGTGGGCCTTTTGTAGTGGGTGACCGGCTTTAAACCATGAAATAGTTATGGTAATATCATGTTCTATGGAAGTGTGCGTTTGTACAAAGCATTATTACTGCGATATAATTATCGTAATGTTAAACATGTATACAGGTCACGTGTTCTTGTCAAGCATGAAAGTTAGTCTCGCTTCATTTCAAAACAAATGGAGTTATTTGCAGTATTCACAAGAAGATGAGTTGTTGTCTGGTAGAAAACCTGCTTGCCCCGCAAACGACCCGTGTTCGATTCTCACTGGACTGGGGCTTCTTTTATTTACTTAATTTCCATTTTTCTTGATTTTTCGGTTACACACAGGATAATTTTTCGCTCACAACGAACGACGCCGACATTGGAATTTCCGCGAAATGAGGTCGTTTAACGCTGTCGCGTTATTACCGGAAGACAAGCGCAAAGAACGCATTTCCCTTCCGATTGGGCAGCATTGGTCTGCGGCCGTCGCACACTTTCACTGCCTCATGGAACATATGGCGCTTGGTTGCCATTAGGTTCCGGTTTGCGGATCCTCACGGTGACTGCGAACAAGCGTCTGGAGTGTCCATGTAATTGCAATAAGAAGAAAAAAAAGAAGCAAGTTTCTGTTAAATTGTTCTTATTGTGTGTCTTGCGATACGGACGAAGCAGAGTGCTACCAGGCAAACTTAAAAAAAATGCGATAAATAAAACGCCACCGTGAAAATAGGATGAGGTATCTTGCACTAGTGCCGATTGGCAACATGAGAGCTTGATTGGCTAACATCACCCCCCGTAGCGGTGCAAGTATATGCTGTTTTCTTTGAATCTGCTCATAAACGTTCATGGCTTGGAAAACAGCGCGAAAAAAAAAAAGGTCCCTTGTTTCCTTTACACTTTTGCATGTGTTTCTTTTATTTCACGTTATTTTTAAAAATTAAAACTGTGCCAGAAAAACTCAACTTCAATTTATTTTTGTAGGTCATGACACCCTTTCCGACTGTTCAAGCATGGCCCGTCTTAAAAAGCAGCACCCCTTCCCCTCACCTTGACGCGATAGCCGCTCTCTGGCCTTTGAATGCGCCTTCGCTTGACCTTCTCTCTTCCTTTGTATCGCTTCACGTGTTTTTAAGGAACACCAAAGAGAACAGCAATTTCTTACGTATTAGTAAAAAAGAAGTCTACAATACCGAAAACACCGCTCTTGACCGCAAGCTAACGTGCGAAAAAGAAATAAGGATGAAGATGCCACCTTGCGATTTCCACATCAAACACCATGACGTCATAGATCTTGATGGCGTCTACTATAGGTCTTACGTAGTTCCTAATCCTGTTTAAAAGAAAGTGAATTGTCATCTTGAGTGTCATAGAGCAACATACGAAGTTTCAGCTTCAGTTTAAGAAGGTACGTACGGCAAGGTTTATTGGAGCAGCTGAAACGTTTAGGCTCTCCATGCGACAGTTTGACTGATATTCTGTTTCCGCGTGGTCACTGGATCTTCAGGAAACAGGTGCCTCGACTTTCCTTGAAATTTTTGAATGTTACAGACCTCGCATGTGACTGGTGATGAGTGACAGATATGTTTGGGGTATCGTCCAGTGAGATAAGGTTACTAGCGCAATACTTCATGTAAAACAGCACAGAGGCCGCCGCCTTACGCAGGCTTACGTCGCGCTACGCGCGACTTTTCAAGAGCCTACGTGTGCTTAATTAAAAAACAAACAAATGAAAGGACATACAATACAATTAGCAAAGAGGAAACTGGGCGGGGCAATCGCCTATTGCGTGCAAATGATGCAAGGCTAGATCCGCCTGTTACCCTACAACATTTGATTCCTAATTGAAGGTTTCAGAAAATTTCATCGAGTTAATGTCGCGAAAATATGAAAAAATTGGAATATGGAATTCGGAAATTGAAAACTGAAACTTCAACTTCGATATAATCCTCTAATACTGAACTTATCATGGTGAAACTTTCGACAATAAATCCGTGAGAGTGCAGTTTATCAATCTAAGCCGACTCATTGTTTGGCCTTGGTGTCCCTTTAATGTTACTTTCTAACCGTTCAACACGTCCTTCATGCTCTGGGATATTTCGAAGGTGGTTTCACTAACTCTGACAACTTTACGCAAACTATCCCGACATTATAACTTGTTTTCTGGGACCTGCGTAAGTGCTTTGTCCGCCTTGATGGATCAGTGGCTAGAGCTCTTGGCTGCTGAACCGAAGGTCGCGGGTTCGATTCCGACAGCGGCGGTCACATTTTCATGATGGTGAAATGGTAGAGGTCCGTGTACTGTGTGATTTCGATGCACGTTAAAGAACACCAGGTGGTCGAAATTTCCGGAGCCCTCCAGTATACGATGACCAACATACCGTGACTGATCGATAGATATGTGGGGTATAACGTCCCAAAACCAGCATACGACTATGAAAGAAGCCGTAGTGGAGGGCTCCGGAAATTACGACCACCTAGTGTTCTTGCACCCAAATGTGAGCACACGAACGTACAACATTTCCGCCTCCATCGGAAATGCAGCCGCCGCAGCCGGGATTCGATCCCGCGACCTGCGGGTCAGCAGCCGACTACCTTAACCACTAGACCACCGCGGCGGGGCACACTCATATCGTGGTTTTGGAACGTAAAACACCAGTTATTATTATTATTATTATTATTATTATTATTATTATTATTATTATTATTATTATTATTATTATTATTATTATTATTATTATTATTATTATTATTATTATTATTATTATTCGTAAGTGCTTTGTCGTTGGTCATTTATACACATCACAAGCTGCCTGTATCATCCATCTGAAAAAAAGCTAATTGTGAGATACTCACACCGCGGCCACAGCTTGGGAGTGTTCATCATTCGTCACTTGACCCGTAGTTAAAGACTTTACGGAGGCTGAGGTGGTAAAAATTATTGCTCATCAGCGCATACACACGGCATCGGACACAGAGACGCTTACGCATCACTGTCTTGCCATGCACCGGTATGTTACAGCGCAATAACAACAGCCGAAATGTGGGTCACCATTTCGGCACATGTCCCGTTTCCCTCCGAAAGTCTTGGTCCAAACTTCCCGTATCAGTTCATTGTTCTGCACACATTTGTGTTACTATGCTCCACGCCGAGCCTTTCCACGTACCAATTTGCGCCTGCGTGCGCCTACAGTTGTTAGGGTATACGTTTCCTTATCGCCCAGATTTAGATATATTTTGGAGGTGGCAGCAGCGAGGATTTCGCTACTGCCGAGTAATTTCAAGTTTACAAACACTTCGGAGGAGTCACGCTCTCTTTCGGTTTTGTTTTCTTGACCATGAAAGTTGTGCACGCACGCAGCAATTGCACGCAGCAATTGGGAGTGAAACTAGCGGCTTAAATGTTCGTAATTAGTAACCCTATACACAGCTTTCGGCAAGAACGTACCCGCCGGTATGTTTGTTGTGACAACATATCCGGGCTCTCAAAGGCCCAGCAGGCTCTCTGCCCAATCGGGGCTGGCCCCGGATCAGCTCCCAGCGGCGGCCCGCACTGTCTTTTTCGCGCAGTAGTACAAGCGGAGGCGAGCTTTTGTTGGCCAAATTCCAGCACGCTTTCATTCTCACGTGCACTCGCCGGCCAAGGTTCTGGCACGCTAAGCCCGAGCAACGACGCGCCGTCCGTTTGTTCCCGCGGCAGCCGAGTTCAGAAAAGGGATGCTCTTTCCGGGTGATGATTAAGGAAGGCAGCACAGATGGGGCCGCCGGTGGCGCTCCAAATTAGAACACAATTCAGCCGAAGGTCAATGCCAGTGCCCCCGGACCCACGGGCCGAACTCTCTGACGTGCCGCAGGTGCAATGGGTTCCCTAAAGGCGCTGCAAGGAAGTAGGGGGGGGGGGGGCGGGGTTGAAGGGTTGGGTTTTGTAGGATGATTGTTATTTGAGGTCCGGCGGGCCCTCTTAATTGCTGCCACGTCGGCGATTACCCGCGGAGCGTCGACGAATGGGCTGCGCGTGACAGTGCATGTGGGACTCGCGCGCCGTTCAGGGCACCTTTAAAGCCCGCTTTTCGTAATGAGGCTGCCCTCTACGGATGGTGCTTCCTGCAGCACGAGGGTCGTTTGTGTGTCCTGTTCTTACGGACTGTGCTGTGACAATCCGTTCTGATGAACGTCTTCGTGTTTGAATCCAAGCGCAGCGAGGAGAGGGTGGGGAGAGATCTCGGGAGACAGAGGAGCTTCCGCGGCGAAAAGCGAGATTTTTAGACGTCGTACAAGAAAGCTCCCGCGTCTTCTCTGATCAGGTACATTGTAATGTCACCTTACTCTCTCTTATTGTAGTTGTCTAGCAAACCCCGTTGTCTACAGCTTGAACGAATCAGCACGGCTCGGTTGTATCTGCATGACATTCATGAACGCTACTGCGGACGTTTCTTTTTATCGTTTTACTTATTTTATTTTCACCTCAGGAGGATGGTACATATCCTATGTGAAGGGAAGGTCTCCAGTGACGCCTAAGTTGGCACAAGGTGGGCCGTTAGTTGACGTTTTGCTTTCTCTGCGCAGCTGCGAGATCTGGTGGTGAACGGTGACCTGTTGTGCTCCAAAGAGGAGGCAGCCGTGTTAGCGGGCGTCCAGCTCCGCATTGAAGAAACCTGGCCCAGCAACGCACGCACGCATCATGCCCTGGGCTCCGAGCAGCTCGGAAAGCTTGTCCCAATCACCGAAGACGCCAAGGTCAGTCGGGATCTTTTGCGGGGCTTCTCAAGGAGTGCATTAGGCGGATGGCAATGACGTGTTACATATTTATTTATTTATTTATTAAATAATTTTATTTTCATCAGAAACAAACATTTACGGTAAAAAAAGGTGGCCGGGAAAAAAGTTGCCCAACGACAGCTTGACAAAGCCCCAGCCACCCATCGGCCGTGGAACGGGTGGGTACAGCACTTGATATCACAGAATCAGAAAAGGCAAAAACTGTGCAAAATATGCAAAGACAAACGATTCAAGTATTTGTTACAATGTACAATGCACACGCACACACACACACACACACACACACATACATACATACATATATATATATGTATATATATATATATATATATATATATATATATATATATATATATATATATATATATATATATATATATATATGTGTGTGTGTGTGTGTGTGTGTGTGTGTGTGTGTGTGGGTAAAGCGTATGAATATTCACTGAGAAAAGAAAACAACTCGCAAAACACGTACGCGTATGCTCCTTTGTTACAAAAAGCATGTTGGAGCAGTTACGTGAATACACTCTAATTTCTTTTTCTTTTGTGTTTTGGAAATAGTTTTGAAATAGTCTAATGTTTTTCGGAGGATGCGTTGGATGCGCTGCGTTCCATTGTGTGTGCGTGAAAACGGAACGTGCCAAGGTGGTTGATATCGGACGTGATAAGTAGTTACATTTTGTAAGTAAAGAAGCATCGCAAGAAACCAGTGTGAAAGAGATATTTGCCTTCTGCAAAGGTATAGCCAGTTCACTTCAAAACATTTACGCATCGTGAACAATTAGTTCCACGAAAACTAACAACTAGGAAATTGATTGTATACGAGTGCGAAAAATCGGCTCATGGGCAGACCAATTTATTTAACGTCATAAATGATACAGAAGCAATGCGCAACAAATCCGGTGACTAAAAAATGGCAAGCACAATTTCTGTTTTTTTTTTCAGCGTCTTGTAATCACCTGTCAAACTGTATGATCAAAATGTAGGCACTTTTTTTTTTCGTAATCAGAACTTCGAAACTATTTTGCAAGAAAGCACGTGTGAGCTTTTTAGGTTGTCAGTTTTGCCTTTCTAGAGTGTTCATTGTAATTGATCACTTTGCCACCTTTTGGCAAGCAGTTAAATTAAATAGCGCACAGCACCACATACAAAATAGACATCGCCGTTATACGTCCGTCATCGTGTCTCCTTCCCTGTCCACGATGTTCCCACAAGTTGTGACCCTAATCACGAGAATGCGAGTTTGGCTTGCGGACACAGATGCCGAGTTTCAGTAATTGTAAATTGAGAAAATTTCCGTGTGAAAATTTCCGTGATCTAGGTGCACGCTAAAGAACGTTAGTTGATCAACATTTATCCGCACTACCTTGCTATGGCTCGCCTTCTAATAATATACGGGGTTTCGCCTTTACAACTTCAAAATTTGTTCGGTATATACGTTTAAAAAGGCCCGTGTACTCAGATTTGTGTGCGCGTTAAAGAAGCCCATGTGGTCGAAATTTCCGGAGCCCTCCACTACGGCGTCTCTCATAATCAAATGGTGGTTTTGGGACGTTAAACCCCACAAATCAATCAATACGTTTAAAAAGTGTCCTTCACCAAATTAGGCCATTGTGTGCTCAGATTTGGGTGCACGTTAAAGAACCCCAGGTGGTCTAAATTTCCGGAGCCCTCCACTACGGCGTCTCTCATAATCATATAGTGGTTTTGGGACGTTAAACCCTACATATCAATCAATCAAATTAGGCCATTGTAAATGAAGAAGCGTGACGTATTGGTGACGATTGTGTGTGCGGTATATGACGTGCCTGCACAGCGTTAAAACGGATGCCACGCGCGTTCCCTCTTGAAAATAATAATAACACTTGCAGTTTTAATTTGGCGCCAAAACCACGATACGTTTACGAGGCACGACGTAGTGGGTGTCCGAGTCCGGGTTATTTTGACCACCTAATGTTCTCTGATCATGCGACTAAATGTAAGTACACGAGACGGGTGTTATATCATTTTGCCCCTGTCTCAACGCGGCCGTCGAGGTCGGGAACCGAACCCATGACCTCGAAGTAAGTGGCGCAACGGGAAGCCTATTGTGCTACCACGGCAGGCTTCCGTCACTATAGGCAGGTTTCCGTCACTACAAGCTCGTGCCCCTATAGGGGCACGAGCTTGGAGAGAGTCTACTTTACGTAGGCTGTCACATTCCAAGCGCTTCTTGGAACGTGACTCCCGCACGGGGGGGCAGAAAATAGTGCCTGTTCCTTTCCAACGAACCTTGCATTCATTCACGAACCGCGCATCAGGTTTTTCACCCTTTGCTGAGCGCCCGATGCTCGAACCAAAATAGAAAGAGAAGAAACAAAAAAAAAAACGGAACTTGGTGTGGATGCATTGCGAAAGACAGTGGGTGTTGTTTGCGTTTCTGTTGTGTGGTTCACGTCTCTGGTGCCCTTATTTGGAGGCATTGCCTTTTCTCACAAGAATAGATGTGGGATTCTTCGCGTGAACATGATCCGCTCGTGTGAGGAGGCCCGCTCTGGCAATCAGTAAGCTCGCCTCGTGAAGTCCTGCAGTAACAGTGAAGTTTAAGTTTTTGAACTTCTCCTATAACTAATCGATTTGAAAAAATGATTTCTTTAAAGCCTCTCGTGACGGTGCTTTACAATTCTATCTTTAAAAGGCTATAGCACCCGCGCTTTCTTTTTTCACGCGTCCACATCCTTCTCATCTTTGTTCGCCATTCCCCTTCCCCTTAGTGCAGGGTAGTGAACCGGATGCTACAATTCTGGTTGACTTCGCCACCATGGTCTCAATTTATTCTCTCTCTGTAATCAAAATTTTCAGTGAGCCCTGGCAAGTTGTAATTGATGTAGAGATGACGTAGCCTGTATTGTGTGTTCCTTGAAACAAGTTTCTGCGCGCACGGGGGCGTGGTCTTATGCACGCGAATGTGTACTACAACTTATGTTTCACTTTGATGCTTGAGAAACAGCGAACATCATAAAAAAAAACGCCGAGCCTGCACGGAAGGCTCAGAACAGTCACAGTGAAAACATGAATGAAGAGCGGCCTATAAGAGGCTTTTCTAAACACTCTTTGGGTAAATGCTAGAAGGACACTCGCTTGGTACCCACTGCGCCATAAATATTCATAATTTCTGCATAGCATGCCGGCATTCACTATGCGATTCTTCGTCATTTTTCGGAGAAGCGTGGTATGCGCCTAAAGGGCCCTGCAACACTTTTTGAGCATGGTCAGAAAACGCTGCTGATCGGTAGTAGGGGCTCCCGACAACACGCGAGCGAAACATTATAGCAAAGTGGAATTCTCAATAAATTATCAAACACAGCTAAAAATTGCTTTCTCTTTACTCGACAAATCATGGTATATGCCCAAATATCACGCGTCAACGACCCATCTATCAGCATTTGGCTTATTTGAACATGGCGCGCTCACTGATTACAGAGATCGACGCGGGAGGCCGCTACTTGTCCACGCGTGTGCCCCAGATCACACTGAAAAAGCTGCGCATTCAAAGAAAAAAAAGCTCAACGTGGCGAGGCTGGCGTGACGTTTTTCTGTAGCCCTGCCATTCCTCCCTGCTTAGCTTCCAGCGCTTTCGTCGGGACGAGAGAAAAGAGAATGCAATTGCAGCATCCGACAAACCTTTCCAACTCCACTCGCACTGGACGGATTCTTAAAATTTTTGTGGCGTTGAAATCGTGGGGCAGTAAGCTCATTCAGTGAATCCTTTCAAGGTTACCTTGAAAAGTGTTTCAGGGCCCCTTTAGCACTTGTAACAAATTTTGTGTTTCGTTCAGTGGCTTCTTCATCGTCGTCATGATGACGACGAAGAATTACGCCTGAAGTGGGTATGTGCCACAGGTGATGAATTTTATATGTGGGGTGTAATGTCCCAAAACCACCACATGATTATGAGAGATGCCGTAGTGGAGGGCTCCGGAAATTTAGACCACCTGGGGTTCTTTAACGTGCACCCAAATCTGAGCACATGGGCCTACAACATTTCCGCCTCCATCGGAAATGTAGCCGCCACAGCCGGGATTCGATCCCGCGGGCAGCCGGTCAGAAGCCGAGTACCTTATCCACTAGACCACCGTGGCGGGGCCACAGGTGATGAAGGACAAACTTTTGTAATGTGTTAGAGCATTGGAAGACTCACTCGTTACGCGATTCGCATTGTCTGGCGCCTGGTTGTTTCTTTAGTGTTATAAAGTGTTTTATTACTCATATTAACGCGATTCCTTTCCCGACAGCAATTGAGCCTGCCTAAGGCAAATTTGCGTACGAATCCCAAGCACCGGTGTGGCTCAGCGGTAGAATACCGGGCTGGCCCGCAATTTACCCGGGGTCAAATCTCACTATGTCACCACATGGCTTTGGTGTTCCTTATATAAACATTTTTTGCGATTGTGGCTACGGGCACCGGTGGTGGCGGGCAACTACGGCACGGCGCGTGACCCGTGTTGTGATCTCATAACAACTTTCGCTGTAAAAATTGACTGAAGTGATACTAGGAGACCAGCGCTGCATAGGTGGTGCGTCGAAGAAGAGCATCTGGTGGAGAGTCGCGACACAACCGAAGAGTCGCGACACAACCCAGCCGCTTCCACCCAGACGATCGGCTGCAGTATACCGCGGTGAGAGCACGCGCGAGCGCCACTGCCTTGGTTCATTTTGGAACAAACAACTCTAAAAGCCATTGCGCCAGGAATACTACTCTGTGTTTTAGAAAGAAAATATTTGTTCGAAGGCTACTCTCACATAAAAACACTGGCAAACGCAGAAAAGCTCTTCAAAGCGGACTGCGCCTATCGACGGGACAGTGCTGTGCCGTCGTGGCGACTCCCTCTTTGTCATTTTTTCGTTGCGTGTGGGGTTTTGTGTTAAGCTATTGCTGGCAAACATGCCTCCACTGATAAGTCCGTGCTGTGGTGATA